CCTCCCTACGTGGCTAGCTTAAACTAACTGTTGTGGATTTCATTGACTGATGAAGCCGTGTTTTGGTTTGATCACCACTATCTCTTTTCCAGCCTGATCCTAAGTCAGGTAACAACGCCCGTCGAGAAAAGTGATGGCTAGGCATACGTAACACATGTCCTAGCCATCTCAGTCGATTGATTCCCCCTTTTACCTACCAATCAACTGATGCTTAACCTCAATATTGCTCACCCTATTATTCCACTTAACACGGGGGATAGAACGCAGCCACCTATGATCAAAGACAGCTAGCCAGTCTTTTCATGTCTTCCACTCTCAGTGGCCATGTCTTACAGCCATAAAGGAAGATGGAGCGAACTGCTGAGCAGTACACAGGTCCTTTGGTTGGCAGCTGGATATAATGTTTACGCCAGAGATGCCGTATGTTGGCATATGCCAAACGAGCCCTCTGTATCCGTGCTGAAATCTCGTCAGCCATCAATTCGACTCAATACTTTTGAGTTCCTTAGTCACTCACACCATCTGAGTGGCCATATAGTACCGCGTTGTAGAGGCTCTGCAATCGAGTGCTTTCATCGACAATGGGAAGCTTCATTAACATCTTTTTTCAAGCCCCAATCACTGGACGGAATTCCTCTCAGGAGTTTTACTGTAAGAACAACAACATAACTGAGACACCAGAATTTTAAAAATACGGTTCCAACCAAAAAGTAAGCTCAGGTACCAAAGACGACCTGACTTCATCATTGCAGTATCCTGAAGTAAGCATTAGGTTGCACAGAGAAAGCTCAAGATTGTGTCAGGATCCGAAGCCACACCTTTTCACAATGGCGTTTTAGACCCATTGACGACGCCGTCTATGGAAGTATCTATAACTGCAGAAGCCATTATACCTTGTGTGCAGTGGTTAGTTAGTTGAATTATGAACTTAAAAACTATACATTTGTTCATTTCTGCCGTATAATTCCGTTAGTTTTCTGCTTATTATAAATTTCGTACCAACAAACAAGTCCACTGAACAAATTTCTAGTTGTCTCTCATCTTACCATCATCCCATGAAAAGTGGTTGATTGTTCCGTAGTATCTTAATGACACAAATACTGTGAAATAAGGTAAAGAAACAACCAAATATTATATGAGACGTTTGGTAATCTTTTTTTTTGATGTAGTTGTGTTCTCTGAGCTGGATAGTTAATTTGCGAGGCTTTCATCGCCTTACCAGGCGACATCTTCAGCGCATACTTCAATTCATTGAAGTGAGCTTTTAGATTTCTCCACGAGTTTATTGATCATCTCTACTGGTAGGTGACCTTGGACGTGATTGGTTGTTTTTGTGTGTTTTCACTCCTTCTAGGTTACTTGTACTGTCACTCATTGTTTCTTTGACTTGAACTTTAACCCTTTGTGTGTGAGGTTTCTTTCTTATCGGTTGATACATTTTGTCTATCTCGATGTGTCTATTGATTGATGATTCACTGGAATGCCAAGCTTCTAAAAATTCTTTATAAATGTCCACTTCTCACTCAGCGCTCAATTATTTTGCAACTATCCGGTAAAATCTTGATCACAGTTCATATGTAATATTATTTAATTGTGAATGGATCGGTGACTGTTAGTGTATACTGGGCATTCTTGACATCATCTTCATGGTTGAGGCGGCCTGTTTGAATCACTATCCGTCGTCTTCGCTTAATTTTTATTGTTTTAAGCATTTAATTATGTCATTAAGTCGCAAAATGTACTCACGCTTAACTTTCAAATGGCTTTCAAACTACTGGTGTGCATTTCGCAGAGACGAAGGTAAAAAAATATCATAACGGGTTATAGTCTGCACTTCACGTCTAAAAGTATTACGTCAAGTGATATACTACAGATTGCTACTTTACTTCGAGGTCCTGGATGGGGAGTAAATATTGTGCAATAAATGACACTCAGAAATCAGTAGGCTGTGTACACATTTCCTTCAGAGTGAAGCTATTTATTTATTTAGTATTATTATTTATTACATTTCATTGTGATATTATCTGTTTGGTTATCGCTAGTGGGGCTTGTCGATCAATGATATAAACCCAGTGGGACTCGAATCCAGCACTCATCATGACTTAGTATCGTAAAATTATAACATTCTGAGATTTAAGCTTTAGGCTGGAGATTCAAATGTACGACTCTATATACTACTGATTGGCTGACATGAGTAGTTGGACACAACTCACATCAACCAGTAGTGCATACTAGCCAGATTGAGGGGATCTGAATAGATCGGAAGACCGTTTCGGTCTTCGAAGGAAGCTGTGGTTGAATTTCACCCCGAACTGTGTAAATAGCATATCGGAAATTTGATTCATGCGTAAGACTAATTACTAACTAAGATGTGGGTTGGTATGGGGGCCTGCTTAAATAAATCTCTGGGTTACCTAGATTTTCTGTTCATATAAATATGCATAGTATTTACTTCATATTTTGTATTGTTTAAATCATCCAATTACGTCTAGAATCACAATTTATACTCAGGCACACTTTCAAATAGGTTTCAACCTACTGGTATGAATTTTCCTAATTGAAGAATGTAACGAAATCTATACGAATTATTGGATGGCACAATAATGCTTCAGTTGATATATTGTTGAGTGTTGTATTGTTGGTAGTTTCTGTGAGAGGAGTAAATATGTTGCAATAAAAACTCTGCAAATTCAGTATTGCATATGAATGGAATTTTCAGAATAAAGCTGTTTTTGTTATTATTTAATTCAATGTGGACTTCCCCGTTGATTGATTTGACCGAAGTGTTCGGCCCGTGTGTGTTGACATGTCGACTCCTGGTGCGGATTCTTCAGCGGTTTCTGAGGGTGTAACTTGAAGTATTTTGGTGGGTGGTGACTAGTAGTGCAATCCATCCACGTTTGAAACGATGGATACTGGGTTTGAGACTCAGTGGGAAACACCAGCTCTCAGTGAAGAATGCAGGTACATCCACCAGATGACGAGTCACAGACAGGACGAAATGCGCATCGTGAACTCCACTGTTACCTACCACCTATCACTAAATAAATAATAATTTGCATAGACACTAAGCACAAGATATCCCTATTCGTCTTATATTTATGGTCCACCTACTGTTAATCCTGAAAATTCCTGTTGACTTCAACCTTCATCTGTTCCTGATAGAATGCAAAGACCATCCGTTTCTATGTTCACTTAATAGAATACGAGGAAAATATTACGTCTCATCTTAATACTGATGAACAGCTGTGATTTACTGACTTAGGCACTTGACTACAAAGGCTAGGATATCAATCTGCCTACTTACGGCCTTCTGTTAATTGAGTTACAAAACTTACATAGCGGAAGGGGTCGGAACAGTAGTCACGAGGAGGAGGTGGTCACTAGCATACTTTGAGACTGAGGTTTTTATTTTAACTTCCAGTCACTAACTAATTCATTATATTGCGGCTATTTTTAGCAACATATAAGTGGAGATAGCACAAATGGAACAAGCTAGCTGTATCTTACTTGCTTCTTCATTTTCAGTTTCCATTCATATAGTTCTTGTTAGTGAGACAGTTGTTTGTATAGTGATACAGGGTTCAATTTTAACACAATCATAAACTTTCCAGATTTCATCCTATTTGTTCGTCTTACTTTACTACTAGTGTATGGGAGGGATTGTAGTTTTGATAAGATTATTGATTATTACGTGGATACATTCACCCAGCAAACTGTGCACACTACTTAAAACAGGCGGTGTTTTGTTTTCAAGCTATGCAACAAAAAACGATGATGACAGGTACAGGTATGCAACCGAATATACACCAACGTCATTTCACTTATATGCGATGCGATGATTTCCACTGACAGTGTAGGAATCGATTTAAGATCAAACATGCTAACAAACATATTGAGAACTGAAAAGTTTATTCAATGATAATTTGATTGATGGCAAGTCGTAGTGGTTGGTATCAAGGATGTGGATTTCGTCATTTATGGGGACTCGTCAACTGCGATGTACTAGCATTCCGAGTGAGAGTGATACTGTTCCCATTGAGACTCAAACCCATAATCACCCACCATTTTAAACGCTACAGGGTTATCGGCTAAGCCACTAAGGCCATGAGAGCCACCTCTTGTGCAACGAACGAATGAGTATCAGTTATTATGCTGTTCTTGGGTTATTCGCCATTTCCCACTGACTGATTATGCTGGACTGTGAAATACTCGATTTGTGTTGAAATGTGTTTATTCATCAATGTTTACTATGCTACAACTTTGATAAATACCACAGACTGGATAATCAGAAGCAAATGGTACAGATTTAAAATAATCATTGAGAAGTCAATCTGACAAATCACCGATGGTCTCGAAATTCCCTGAGGTGTGAATAATCTATAATGGAGAATATATTACCTGTCACTCTAGAAATCTTCAAGTGTTGGTTTCTATGAATTTGACTAATTTTAAGTTTTTATCACAAACTGAGCTTTATTTAGAGAATTACTGAAAACCAGAGTCCCGGACAGTTGTTTCGTCCTAGTTCGAGACTCTTCATCACTACGCATCCATTGATTACTATCAGGGAGATACATAGCATGGAAGAATTGACAGCCCATTGGATTCCGTCCTAGCGGCTGAATGATCAACAAATCCACCTGGTAACCTGCAGGTCCTGGGTCCCACTCCAGGGTGTGGGTCTACGGGATCGTGTTACTGAAGAATCCCACACAAGGATGAAACAGTCGTTCAATGCTCCTGGTTTTCAGTTCTCCTCTAATTGAAGTCAGTTTGTGATCGAACTTTCGAAGTCAAGTCAACATAAGACTGGTGATGAAATTTCGAAATTAGTATTTTTTGTACAAACTTTTTTATTTTTGTTTTTCATACTTCTAACACTTCTTCACCCTCCTGTCTGCTCAACCTGCATCAGATCAAATACAACAAGATGTGAAAATACTCAAAAGCCTGGATTGTCAACAACTAGCAGTGTTAGCATGAATAACATAAACAGTATGGCTAGTAATTGTTCCAATTCTATTCCAATATTCGATTATCACCATCATAATGGTAATAAAACATCAAATTCTAATAATAAATCTGCTTTATTACGTGAACAATTTTTCAGTTCTATGCTAGGTGACAGTAATACACAACAGCATCAACCATCTCTGGAATCAGAATTGTCTAGGAAACCAAAGGTTTTACTGCAATACGGAGATTTATGATACCTACCAACATATACACAAATACATATACACTTCATTTCATTAAAGTTTCGCTAATTAACTTGTGAATACCTCTCTGCACATACACATTCATCGGCATCACTGTCATCATCGTTATTATTATATTATTTTCATTCTAGTAACTAATGCCTCATTCATTCTTTTTCTTTTCATGATATGGCTGTGCTTTGTTATTCCCCCCCTCCTTCTTGTATTTTTGAAACTCTTAATAATATAGCAAATGTCATATTTCTTCTCTGCTTTTATATTCTACATACATTCAACGCCAACATACTCACTCAGTCTTTATCTTATATATTTTATATTGTCATTATTATCATTTCATTCATAATTCAATGATCATCATCATAGTATATATACAAAAACAAAAATTTAGCGGATTATTTAATGTTTGTGGAAACGTGCGTATTTTGAAATCATAATATATATATTATTACATTTTATTATCATTACTATTATTATTATTATTATTATTATCATCATCACTAAATACACTTGATATTTTCAATATTCACAGAATTTCCATGTACAGGTTAATATTACCACTACCACTGGCATCATTTTTTTTCTAAAATTTACATTAAAAATACATAATTTATACATACTCTTGGTTGTTTTGAATGTGCGATTCAGTAAAAAACGGTAATAGTTACGTTCAATGTGGGAGTGGGGTGTACATACATGGTTGCTTGATTTGTGTAGGATGCTCACCAACAACCACTCGCGTGGTCCGGTCCGAGGTTTGATCCCCCGACCGGTGCAGTCTTAAACGTCACCTAGCTGATAGTGAGCCCAGAAAAGTTAAGTTCTGTGTGTAAGCAGGTAGGTACCACTCACTCAAATTCGTTTACTACATAATAACTTATTAAAAAATAGTATTGGTTTGGATTTCACTGTATCTACTACACCTAGGCATGGGCAATTAGGTGGTATCTATCATTCAGGCCCATTAGTGGAACAAGTTGGGTGTCCAAGGGTGACATAGAAGAGGAGATCGTGCGATGAGGAGATGAGAAACTATGGCCAATGGTAGGGCCAACAACTGAAGTGGACCACAGAGAATAGGACAAAGTGGAGATGTGTTGTTGAAGCCAGCCCTATGTTCCACTCGGAACCCAAGGGAACACTAATAATACAGATAATAATGAACCGTTACGTATTAAGTTTGGCTAATTACGTAGCGTATGGAAAATTTGTTGCGTTTAATTCACCTTTAATCAACTGTCGCTTGATAATGATAAAAAGAAAACCGTATCCAACACCCTTACCTAGAACAGAAAAAGGAATAGAACTACTTGTCGTTGAAGGAGATGCATAGACAGAAGTTGGGGAGGCGGCAGAATCATAATGTGGTTTTCTTGTGTGTAGTCGACAACCATTGAAAGCAGTGATACTGAAGTGGTGAGTGTGTTCTCTCTGACTTCTTCATAAAAGTGTCAAGATATACATTATTTTAAATAACCTTTTTTCCACTGTCATGGCATTGAAAGTAAGTGACTGATAAAATACCCAGATAATAAATAATTTTGAGTGTTTTGGGGAAAGTGTGAAAACTACAAACAAAAAGGACACAGGTCAACGGTACCAACGAAGTGTAGCGCAGTTAAACCACATATTCACGAAAACCAATAACCGCATTTTGGTATATAATAATTTTACAGGTTTTATATTAATAATTTTGAAAAACTATTTATTCAAAATTGTCAGGAAATCGTGTTGTTTAAAATATGTCTCCTCACCATTATTGCTTCGTAGTCTCACCTTTATTCACATTGTTCATCATGCTTCTTGATTCTGACTAGTTGTACAGTGGGTACACACGCAAAGTCCATCGAAGTGGCTGATGTATTTCAACTTCATTGTTTCTAATTGTATATTATTATTATCATTGTATCCTTTAATTCCTAGAGGAACATAGGGCTTCAGCCGTGCGTCTCCATTGCATTCGGTTCTCTGCTAGAGTCTTCAACTGACTCCATGTCTGCCCACACGTTTTCATCTCCTCTTCACATGACCTCCTCCAAGTCACCCTTGGACGACCAACTCGCCGTTTCTAATTGTGGAAACACTTTTATGACACTAGTCAGGATTATTAGCTGATATTTCTGGTGATATATACAGTACATAGAACATGCTTTATGTTGCACATTTATTTCACATATAGGTGTCCGCTTTTACCATTACACTTTTCAGTCATACATGTGAAGACGTCAACCACATATCAGCGGTTACATAGTAGGAAGTTGACTCCAGATGCTCGACGCTTGGATAAATAGAATTGTGAATAGTTTCGTCTGTCATGCATGTCTGTTTCATGTGTAGACACTGAGTCTTTAGACGAATCACATCTCGCCAGTTGGTTGGTTCTTGACAATCTTCCCCTAAATAACTTAACGTCAACTGATAAACACATACACTGCTCTTTAGAGTCACTGTCTCTAAATATACCAATCGTTTGATATTTCATTTTATCACGACTCACAAAATAGTTAACTTTATTAACCAGGACGCCACATAAGTATTTTTTTGTTTTTATTTTTGATTACAGCTTGATTCCACACAGTATTTTTTTGGTACATGTATGGAATTTTCAGCATGTGATATCGGTGGTAGCCCAAATTTTACAGGCCGACCATAGATATCAGGTGTGCGTCGGCAGGGGATCGAACCCCGGACCATGTGAATGGTCGACGAGAGTCCTAAACACTGTGCCACCGACGCACACATCGATTTATTCGAGATTATTCACGTGTTAAATGAAAACAACACAGCTATTCCTTGATAGAGATTTTTGTTGCCCTGTGTTATACATTTCAGCAAAATAAATTTATTTCCAATGAAAGCCATTGACGATATTGGGATATTCTCGGGTACGATTTAATCCGTAACTAAATTTACAGCCAGCTGGAGATTGTGGAACGTCCAAATAATGTAAATAGTGTATTGCCTTCATTAATTAATGGCTGTGCTCTTATTCGAATTTTGTCTTTCATGAACGTAAGACGGTTTTCAAGAGGATAGGAAAGTGATTCACCTCACCAGTCTAAACTTATCCGAAGTTTTCACCTTTATTTTCCAATATTTCGCTGCAAAAATCCCTACCGAAAGGTCGTATTTAGTTCACAGTTAGACTAGGGCAACATGTGCAGAAAATGGAAACCCTAGATTTCTGACATACACCAAAGCAAACCAGATTTGCATTAGTATTCTGCATCCACTGAATATTCTGTTAATTTATCTATCTTGAATTAGTTTTGTTCTCAACCAGCTCAGAGGACACAATTAATTAAATATCACATTCACCTGAGTTAGAAATCTTCTCCATTGTTTCAGTTTATCTATCTAATGGCGGCCTGCTTAAATCACTGGGCTACCTTAATTTTTTTTATCCATCAAAGTGCATCGTGTTAACTGTGTTTCATATTGTTTTAATCAACTATTGACCACAAGAAGATACAATCCAGGCAACAGTAAAGAATAGACACCAAAGTCAAATGACCTTGAACCTGCCAATTATATTCGTTTGGGTGAAAAGCGATAATTATTTAAAAGTGTATTTATAAGACATATATGTAATACAACTGGGCATGTTTGATTCTATCCAGGATGATGCGGCTTAGTATTTTGCTTGGGATGGACAGAAGCATAATGCCACGCCAGCTCTTGCATTGACCTAAGTCCCCTTACTTCGGCAGTTTGAATAAGTAGCCTTTCTTCCAATCCTCAGGTACCTTGCTCTCTGTCCACACCTTCTCCAGTAGTGGCGTCATCAAGTCCGCCGTTGTCTCTGGATCCATTTTCAATGTTTCTGCTGGGATTCCATCTGGTCCTGCTGCTTTTCTAGTTTTTAGCATCTTTATTGCCTTCAGGACTTCTGGTTTCGTCAGGGGGTTGGTGTTCACTAGTAGCTCTGTCTCCGTTGTTGGTATTGTTGGGCGCGTTGTAGGTGGTGGTCGATTTAGGAGTCTTTTGAAGTGTTCAGCCCAGTGTTTCCTTTGCTCCACTTCTTTGGTGAGTGACTTTCCGTTGTCATCTTTCACCGGCTTGATTTGTGTTAAACGTTTGCCCGATAGGTACCTAGTTGTTTGGTAGAGTGTTGCGAGGTCTCCTTTGCCTGCAGCTTGTTCTGCTTCACTTGCCATGGCTTCATAATATTTTCTTTTGTCTTCCCTGGCAACCGTCTTTACTCTTTTGTTCAGTGTATTGCAACTTGCATTCAACTCCTGTTTCTATTCCTTATCGATGCAATGGATAATCTTTTGTTTCAACATCCTTCTCTCTTCTATAAGTCTCCACGTGTCCATAGTGAGCCACTGTCTGTTTTGTTTCTTCTCTGTGCCTAGAACTTCCATGCAGGTTTGACTCCACACCGCTTTCAGGCTGTTCTAGTGTTTTTCAACGCTGGTCTCTTCGTTAGTGTTGATTCGCGTCTCCGCCTTTTTTCTTATGATTGCAGTGAAGATATCCTTTGTGGACTGATCCTTCAGTTTTTGAGTATTGAACTTGGATTGCGGCCTATCTGCAGTTCCTGTTTCTTTGAAAGTTTTTGATTTGATTTGGAGTGTTCCTAGAACGAGACAGTGGTCTGAGCCAACGTTTACTCCTCTTCTAACTTTTGTGTCCTTGGGATTGAGATGAAGTCAATTCGGTTTTCGGTTTCGCCCGTCTGGTGACACCTATGTAGCCTTGTGCTTGTATAGGCTGTCACCAATCACTAGTTCGTTGAAGGCACGGAAATCAGCGAAGAGTTCTCTGTTTTCATTCATCTCTCCAAGGTGCTTCTCTACGCATGATGAGTTCTCTTCCTGTGTTTTTCTTTTGTCGCAAGCAGACTCATTTATACTGAAGTTTCTATAGCAGTTTTGTTTTTACAGGGTGGGGGTTGCTAGCCTAACGCCTGGGGGGAAGGGGGTTGTTACATAAATACGTTAGTTACAGAGGAGCGACTTTTTGGGGGTTGCTACCTTTGGAATCAGGAA